CAGAGTTCAGATTTAAACTTCCTAATCTCTATTGCCTCTGTGAATCTTAATAACTTTTCGTTGAACTATCTATTGAAAACTTTGAATAAATTCATTGCATCCACGGCATTCCCCATATCTATCACGTGACATGCCATCGAACTACGTAGACATTTTGCTCCTCACAGGCATAAGTTCTTGGTAATGTGGCCAATAAGCAAGTAAACGCCAGCTTTTCTATCTTCTTATTGTAAATTCTTTCTCATGTACATGCAAAATGATACATGTAATTGTTAGTAACATATGACGGACTTTTATTTACTTTTATTTGCGGTATTCAGCAGTGTTTTGTATTGTAGAACCATTTTTGTAGCATACAATGTACTTTTTATCACTGCTTTTAGTTTGTGATTAATTTCATTCATGATTGAATTACCTTCAAATGAAAATTGAATATAAATATGTTTCTTTTCAGGTTTGTACACTTACCTCGGTATTCACGAATATGTTTCCTTAAAAATAATTGAGGGTATTCTCTTTCTTCTCAGACAATTTATTTATTACTGCATACTTCTCATCAACATTATTTAGTGAACATAATTTTCTGGTTTTACGGTAGAGCATCTTTACTAACCCATATTTATATCTTACAGAATCAAATCTATGAAAGTATTGGTCATTTCAGGTTTCTTCACAATGGATATATCTTTGACAAGTTCCATAATTTCTAGAAATACCATAGTCGAAGGAATTGAACTCATCCTTTCTTTCGTGTTCCATTGTGGATTTAATAGTTGGATGGACTTTACTGAAAATGTTTCTGCATGCTAGCCGTATTATTTATATCGTTACACAAAACAAAGTTTTAATCAACGCTCTTTAATTAATTAAAGTTTATTCTAATTGATTACAGATACAAATTTTATTCACTTTAAATTCCTAACGATTATATCGATAGGGAGTGGTCCTAAAGGAATTCCCATAGGCACATCATCTGGTTGACAGTATAGTTTAATGTTAAATCATAATTTAACGTTTCAATGAATAATCTTATTAAATACTTGAACTGTATTGGTGATATGGATATGTGTTGTGAGTATTGGCAAATAATATCAATTGTTTCTTTAAAAGGAATATTGTTGAAAAATGAAAATGTGCTGTATGAAACCATAAGTGTATTTAGGATATTTGTCTAGTCTATTACATATATCAACTCAAAAATATCTTTTACGTTGAAATTGTCCAATTTTTTGATAATTAATTCTAGTTTGCTAGATAAGCATAGAGCTAATTTATGTCAGGGAATATCAACCATATGAACAATAATTCTGATTGATATATAAGATTTATGTAATCTAACCTATCCGAAAACGTTACATGTAGTATGATTATTCATCCTGATTTTCAGTTCTCTAAGTTGTTTGGTTACATGATTTTCCAATACTTTAGTTTTGACCTCGTCTGAATTTCCTGCTATGAGTTTTCTCAGATCTAGAATCGTCACAGTTTTTCATATATGTTCAGATCTGTTCGTCGGTAAAACTCTAAGGCCTTTATCTAGTTTAATTGGTGTTTTATTATACTTTTTCTCAGATTATAAGACATCGTAATGGACTTCCGTCACAAATTTATATAGGAGAGATGGTGCAGTGTAGAATTACTTAATTGTCATCACAATGAAATGAGTTAAAAATTACATGTCTCTTCTCTTGCCAAACTTTTTAATATGGTCATCATATCACTTGGTAAAATGATCTTAAGTATTTTAGAATAGCCACACTAAGCAACAATAAAAACATTGTAGAAGCCTAAATCCTTAACTCCTTCCACATTCCAAACTACTTGTTCGTTATTAATTGATAATTCATTTTTCTATATTACGCTAATAATGTGAATATTTAAAGTTGTGGGCTGCCATTTAGTCTGAGTGAAGAGAACGAACTACAGTATTATTCAATATTAATTCCATAAATATTGTCCATTTGCTTTTTAATTTCACGAAATAATTTAAACTACTTTACAATTTGTGAGTAATACATTTCTTTTTATTTCAATCTTCAGGACTGCAAATACGAAATTATTTATGGTTGATGAACTAATAAATTATCATGATAATGATTTACAACTACTTGGATGAAAGGTAAAATAAAGCATGGTCAGAATATTTGTGATGAAGTCCTAAAGCAAACGATTTTGTTACGACTTCATCCTGGTATGGCACAATGAGATTATATGAATCTTATCATGGCTTATTTCTGCTATACGATCACATTACTTTGCGACATGAATTAGAAGACTAGTACATTGCTAAAAAGTCATTTGATAGCATGATTGAATTACCTGGATTTATTTATCGTTATCATTATTGGATGGTCTAGGGACTATCGTCGTGATCCTCTGGTCGTTGTTAAAATGCCTGTTTTACTTAGTATATGAGTTAAATTACTCTCTCATAACACCTTTAGTCTATCAGTCCACGAAGTTCTACTCTGAATTCAGTTCTGGATCTACATGTATTTTTAAAACTCAACTTTCGAAAGAATATGACATAGAAAATCCAAACCAATTTTCCTTAAAGTGTAACAAATTAAATTAATCGGATTATTTTATAAACTTTGACCAATGTATTAATCTCATAAGAATTCTGATACTATAACCAGAAATTACTTATTAAATGTGAAACAGTTCGACTCAACAAAAATACCATCAAATTACTGTATGACTTACAAATGTTTACTAGTAGTAATGATTGAAGTATTTTGATACTTCTACGAAATATTTCAAGAAACCATTTAACTAATGGATTTTGGGTGAGCCCATTATCAGTGAAGACCATTTCAACAAGTCAGTTAACCGTTAGGAAGGTTTGATCACTAAGATCTAATAAAATAATAATGCGATTTAAATGGAAAGCAATTAGTCTCGAAATTATTCGGACTGGCTAGCCTCAATATTTTGGGGGAAGAAAAGCAATTAACATAAAAACATATGATAAATGAAGCGAATTATTGTATATTAACCGGTTTGTAGAACAGTTAGACACTTTTCAATGCGATACCGAAATCTGTTTATTTAAAATTATTTGTTAAAATGTTAACTAAGCAAATGGCTTCTTTTTTGAACGTCTGAAAATCTCAGTTGCTAACTGTTTTGTTTCCATTTATTGTTACGATATTGAATATAAGTTGAAAAATCATTTAGCTTTTAAGCAAAGATGGATAGTGGCTAGCAGTGGAAACCAGGACCTACTGAATTTATCTGACTTTTGTCGTAGACTTCAACAGTCAAAAAGGTTTTATATTTAAACTAAACGCCTACCTAAAAACGTAACCCAGTTTTTATTTAAACCAATTCGATAATTGAAGATTTTGTTAGATTAACTAGATTAAAACACGGTTCCGATTTAGTCAAATTAAGATTGTGAATACAAGTTATTATTGAATCTTGGGATTTGTTGGGTATAGTCCACGGTAACTGTTAACTAAGGACAGTCGAGATTATTCTAATATGAACGGAATCTAATATGAACTCGATAAGTCGGAAAATGACCCGCACAACTCTCCAAAAACAACGCCGGAAGATGGGACTCAACAAAAAGGTAGCATTGCAGAAGGAGAATCAATGTCAGAGATGGACACCTCAATATGGCTATTTTAACAGGTGTGTCTAGTAGTGAAAACCAGAAGGCAGGTATATCCAAATGATGAGTCCAGGACGGGACAAAACGCCAGCTCTATATTTCACTGAGAGTAACAATCCATTTATTCTAAGAAATTATGGATTCCGTTCAAAAATTTTTGCAACAGATAAGAAACCATAAGGAATCAATAAATCCATTTTGTTTTGTAGAAAGTTTTATATTCACAATTTGTTTAAAAATGATTGTTTGACCTTAAAATAAATCCCTTTGAAAATTAATCGGGAATGATCATTTGCGATTCATTTACATGCTGAGAAAAGATAATTTGATAGGGATTGCAAATATCCTTATATCTTGACATACTGAATAAATTATACATAATATCACACTGTTATGTACTCTGGCTTTATTAAAATACATCCTTTCTCTGCTGGTAGATACTGAGAACAGATTAAGTTAAGGAAAGTCTGCCCGATTATACACCAATATCTGAATGATTTACAATATAGCACAATAATACACCACCTTTATAAGATTGAAGTCACCTGGATAACATAAGAGAAAGTAGAGTTGTATTCAGAAGAAATACACTTAGCCTTAGGTTTCACCCTGGGCAGCTACAGAATCATTTCACTTCTGGTTTAACTGCCAGTCCAATTGTTAGTTATACATCATAAAATATTATTCCCAACCTCTTTGTATGCGCACATTTATTCTGATCTATTCTACGAAACACTTCTAATAAAACAATCATCTTAATCTACAGTTATTAATATTATTAATAATAATAGTATCATTATTATCATTACTTATATTATCACAACTATTATCACATAAAATTTACACTTTATGAATCACACTAACATGGCTTTTCTCTTTTGGTGATAATTCACGATTTTACCCATTTAAGACGTGATCAACATGAAGTTCACCATTCTCAGTGTACATAACTATTTGAATCATTTTTTATATTTATGCCCTGATATTACGAGACCTCATTTCTGGATTTCATTCGGTAACAGCTCAAAAGGGCATCCAAGGACAGAATAGGTTAAAGAATCCTACTCGGCGGTCCATGCTTCACGAAGGGTAACAGGCATAAATAAATAAATAAGTAAATAACATTTATAGATTTATAATACTACAACCTGAAGATAAAGTTATTAATTGAGAATGAAACTGATCACTTACAATATGATTACACTATGGACACTGATAACTGACAAATAATAAGGCATAGATCACACAATTACTATTCTATCACAAGTTTTGCTTCATTTAAATTGACATATATGAACAACAGAATTCATGTAACCCTGTAATTAACTTAGTGTTCATGAAAATCTCACACTTTCATATTTTATAAGAAAAAAATATAACAAGTGCAACCAATTTTAATTATATTTTATGATAAATTGTACACAAGATTACACTGTTATAATTAGTTGTCATGCATAGCCTCATTGACTATAATAAACAATAGAATAAAAAGGACAATAAGCCTTACAAAGCGGTAAATTACAAATATGTAGTATTCTAATGATTATTATTTATAGTTTCTTTTCATTGTAACAAAATATATTAAAAAATGAACTAGGTAATGATGATAGTGTTTGTATTATCGATAATAATAATAGTAATAATAATAATAAGAACACTAGTAATTATTAAGAAAAAAGAAGACTGAAAAGGTAAGAAGATTGCATAAGAAAATATTTACCAAAAGTTTCAGTATTTCTATGAAAATGCAACCAATAAAACATCAGGCGCATATTATGAAAACACAGACTTAATGAAATCATATCCATGAAAGTATTTAGTTCTGATACACAAACAATGTGGATACCACTAATTTTTATTAATATTAGGAGTTGTTCAAAGTTTTCTGGACTTGATGGAGGAATGGAAACACTAAATTCTCGCCCTCAAGTATGAAGATGGTTAGTTTAAACTGGATCGTAATTGTATTGTTGTTTCAATCCAAATATTTGGTCTTTCGCACATAGCCAACCAGGCTGATTTTTCAGCATTCATTGCATCCAACCATGGTTGATCATCTGAACATGACGAACAACGAAAAAAAGCATTATTATGAATGGCAATAGTATGAATGGTACATTACATTTATTTCTACAAGAAATACTTCTGATTTTCAATTCTGAAATCCACCTAATGACTCGGTAGTTATAGTCATCCCGTGACGTGGACCATATTACGAAACTGTACTTATCTTCTTAATCAACCAATTAAATAAATAATCAGTTGGCCAGTATTTTCATTGATGACACTTTGGCTTCTCATATTACTCAAAATGTTTATCATTTTGGTATCATTTTAATTATCAATCTATGAATTCATTCATTATTTAGCTTACCATCAAAATATGGTGCTGATTGGTATTTAACTCAAGAGCAAGTTGTGTTCACTGAGTCTTTGAACAATTTTGATAAACTGGAATCTTGTCGTTATGTGGCTGAATAATCATCGCTCATCACAAACCAACACTTGAAATTATTTTATTTCATGATGTGTACACACACAAACTACTTACAAGTAGTTGAATGACGAACTCCTAACGTTTTAAGCTATTTCATGAAGTTGGTTGTGAAAGAACCACAAAACATGTTTTTTTCCTAGCGGAAATCAATTATGGACTTTTAATGAGGTTAGTAAATATATGATAGTCAAAAAAACGTACGTGATCCACAGTTGATTCTACATCCTCCAAGAAAATCATTCGATGAGAACCGATCGTAATCCCAAACAGAAATTTCTATTCCAATTTCATTTAAAGAATTAAGGATAATGTCTCTGTATATGATAGCTTGGTTCCATTCGGGATTATTATTCTTTCTGACAACCTTTGTCTTCTGTTTGGAATACTTCTCTTTACCGGGCAACATATATCTGGAAATTCGATATGACACGGTTGTGTGTTAGAAGCAAAATTTCATAAGGAGTGTATTGCCGATTGGGCACATAAAACCAAAAGTTTTTATTATGTATTAATTGATTGAACCAATTCAACATGAAATAAGTAATTTAGTCAGTTATTCAATCATCATAAAACAAGAGTCCGTAAGTTATGGTCACTGGGCTTTCAATAGTTTGTATTTTTTTTACTGTTATGTAAGGTTCTTCAAAATGATAACAATATACTTTTCAATGTTGTAAACTAATTACCAGAACTGTTTCACGTGTTTCACTTAAATTGCGTCCAGAATTCTTATGAAAGTATGAAAGTTTGTTTTAAATTCGTGCATTTCGGTTAAGTAATGTTGTTTTCATCACATCACTCTATTCAAACATATTATATGTCGAAGTCGGAAATACTAACAAACACAGAATTATTGATGGTCGAACAGATAAAGCTTATCTCTACAAGTTAAATTCATATTCTGTTACTACTAAATATCAACTAAAAAAGCTTATTTTCCTTTATTTTAAGTCACCTTGAGTAGTGGCTAAGGTGAAGCTTGATAAATGAGGTTCCATCCACTTTAAGGATTTGACGAAAATGTTATTGGTTACCGTTCAGTGATGAATCACCTTACGATTATGAAGTACAAGTTAAAGCCTGAAAACACAGTAGTAACATCTTTGATATTAATACTGAGTGGGACAGGTTAGGATCCCATGAGGAGTACAAGCTACTTTGATAGTCGAGACACATCTTATTTGGTGATGCCAAAGAACACAAAGCTTAGACTCGAGGCTTCCTGGTGATTCACTCCAGACAACCAGCATCCATACCTTTACAGTATATAATACAAGATTGAACTGTAACTTGGAACCAGTAACAACAGGCTCTAACACAAAATCCAGAAGTCAGAAGTAAAAGATGGAATGGTTTAGAGCAGCTAGAATTAACTTGAAAGTAATCAGGGGTGATATCCATAAAAAAATGTATATACCCAATCATTTTGTAATTGTTTATTTACCATCTTTGTTATTTATAATAATGTTACTCTATTTCCTTTGTTTTCTCTATCACCAAGTCGTTTGAGAGTATACTAATGTGTTCAGATGTACTATGCAATCCCGAACATTGATCTTTTTTATGTGTATATCGTTATATTTGTTTGTACACTAGAAATAAGTTAGCTTTAGAAAAGTGAATATTAATAGATCAGTAAATTGTATTATTTTTGTTAGTTCTCTGAATGACGAAACACTAAATATAAGAAAACTACTTCAGAAAATTTCTTACGTGAACATACATTTTTACATAGGGATCAACATTATCCTTTTTTAGAGCCATCCCGTCAGTAGATGCACTGAGACCTCTGGCAGATTTGATCCACACATGAATTTCACCCCGATTATTACCTGTTTCACCCGGTACGAGTTTTATGGCTAGAACTATTTCACCTCGACTGATTTGTAAGTGTGATACCGTTGGAAGGAAGCGCTACAGAGTTAAATTTTTTTAGAAACAGTTGTATTATACTGTCCGTAGGCAAAAGTCTAAAAAAATACTAAATTGTAATCAAATCGCAATGGAAAAATGCCTCTAACATAAAATTTTCAAGTTGTTACTTTTATGACGGGTTTTACAAAAAAAGTTTATAATCGGGCTTTAAACATTTTTATTAATAACAATAATCGTAATTAAATTTCCATCATATTTGCTTAAGTTTATTTAATCTAATTTCGTCTGTTAATAAATATAATACTAACAATTCAGAATCTTATCATAAAATTTTCTTCACTCAAAAGATAATCCATGTGTTGTCTGTCTTAACTATGGTCGAAAACTTAGTGGTACCGTGTAGAGATTATCGATTAGGACATTTTATTGGTTGGTTATCGAACCCGAAGTCAATATCTGCTATTAATTTAATAAAAATATTCAATACTATTAGGTAGAGTGTATTTCAAGAGTCAATTTGAACGATGTTCGTTATGCAGTAAATATACCCGGAATGATGAGGGTGATTGAATTTTACTGAGACTAGCCATTTTCATGATATATTTTGTTTTAAATAGTTTTTCCGCAGAGTATCATTGCTTTGTTTCACTTCACTCATATGACAGTTGTGATGAATTACAATCACTTAAGGAAAAATAACTATCTTAAATTTTTCTTAACTTCGAACGTGTAAAGTAATTGTGGTATGACCGAAATTCAAAAGTCCTAGTTAAATTATCTTTATGATGACAATTTGGTAACACTATATCGTTTCAAGAAATCATCAATATTGTTTCAGTAACAGGAATAAATGTGGTGGTGGAGTTATGTTGATTAAAATGAGCTGGTGTCAATCTAAAAATTTTTATTTCAGGTTTTTAAACAACTTTATCGACTGTTTAACATCACAATGCCGTTCAAAACACTTGAAAAGCCATAGTAATATTTATGCTACAAATATTTATGTGACCCCAGACTATACTTCATCTCCTCTATCACTTTTCACTGATTCACAAGAAAAAATTTCCGAACTAAAAAAAAGATATTTTAATCAGGAAGGGATTTGTGAATCGACAGACATAGTTCATATTATCACTCTACCTTAATTTCGTTTTGAGGCTTTTTGTCCCAGCGAAGATTCATTTAATATACCTGCCAACAACTGAAGAGATAGAAAACTATGCAAGGAAAAGGATTATATTAGTGTTCAAAGGCTTGATAGTCTAATAAGTCGAGAGATCAAACTCCTAAACATATTGTATACTCAAAAACTCTTATCTTTTAAAAAAATCTTCAAATATCTGAGGACTGTTTAACGTTCTTAGGATTGTGGAATGTATTAATGGCGATACCCACCTCAATGTTTGTAGCTTAAATAAGTCTTCCATGTGTTAAGGATCTGATGTTATATTTCTCATTTCTTCAAGTTCGATGGGGGCTATGTCTCAAGATTTAATTATACTAACGTTTCAACATGTCTAAATTCACTTGATTCATTAAAAATGTTTACGGATTGACAATATTATAAACCTGCTTCTTAAAAAATGCTCTGATCTTATGTGTCATCAATTAATGAGCATCTTGACCAAATGGTGATCAATGAATTTTATTTTGAAGATTTGGAAGGAAACGAAGGTAATCTCAATACGGATGAATGCGTCTAGCGATAAGGATGTCAAGTTTTGGACTATTGCAATGACTTTTTTTCTCAAAACGATGAAGAAAAGTTAAGACTTACACTGCAGCTTATATTAGAGGAGTGTATTGATCTATACAAGATTTCTTTCAAATCTAAAAGAAGCACCTGTAGTTGCCCAGCATCATAACATAATTTTCAGTTTGGAAAAGTTATAAGACTTAAATTCTTCCTTCGGTTCTGTTCCAAAGGTACTACTACTAATTTCAAATGCATAGGTAATAAATAAACATATTCGGTGAAAAGACTCCGTTATCGATCGTCTTAGGAGGGACTCCTTAGTAATATGAAGCTTTTAGTCCTTTTGAAGTGCATCACAAGACAGATTACTTCAAAGGTTATCGGAAAAGGATTTAAGACTGGGGAATCATAATTTATCCATATCTTGTTAATGAATCGATCACTGAAGCTTAAAATAAAATGAACTAAATAACTTACGTGTTCACCAAGTTTATACCAATGGGAGGCTTGGTCAAACTGATGGAAAGTCAGCGGTAAAAAAATTTCACCCAGAAATAAATTCAAACCCAATGCATTATGATGCCAAACAGATACTTGAAGTGTACGCAATGTTAGATCCTGCTTTAGTATACGATATTTAAATTCTTCATCATAAACAGGATTACATGTTGCTTTTTTGTACGATGTTTTTCGTTTGCTACCCTTAGTTCGATCTGGTAGTAAATAGCATTTCACATAGCTAGTGTTTTGCATAATAAAAAGAAAGGAAGAGAGCAAATACGTAACAATGAAATTGAGTGAACATATTCCAGAAGATGATGCAAAATTTATTAAAAGAACTTTCTTGTTTTCCACGACATATTATAAGGGAAATTATATGAACTATTCGAAAATAGTAATTTCGTCAACTGAATACTATTCGAACGAATTGTGCAATTCATAATTCTATGGATCTTGTGATAGATAACTTTAAAGAGATCTCAGAGGTTGATTTATCTTTATTTGTCCAAAGGTGAAGGACACCGTGACGCATTATGCATTCGATAAGCCTGCATGCTGAATATTGCTAATTGGAATGTGTGCATGAAGTTCTAGATCTAGGTCTCATTCTGTTTATTACATGTCACCAAGGTTAATCTACGATCTTGACAAAACTCAAGATCCTAGTGTGATTCCTAACCGCGTCAGCCAGAGTCAGGTACTGACTTTACTACTGAGCGATTTCAGTCATCAACACACAGTGCATGTAATGGTAAGTTGTGTAGACTAGTGACCAAAGTGCGACTTGGTTGATAGAATTCAACTTGCACTACAAATTGGACAAACAGAACAAAAGTCTCTACTTAATGATCAATCGGTTTCAAATTAATATGCCGAATAAACACAAACATTAGGGAAAATATGACACGTAAAATTCCCGGTCATCAATTACTGTGAGAAAATTTAAACTTACGGATTGGTTATGTTGCGTTTTCTATCTGCTATCGCTAGGTTACGTGCTTGTTTGATACTGATTTTTAGTGTACTATATGCATCATCGTAAATCACAGCCATAAGCATCTCTCCAGATATCTGAATGCCATGCGAGTAACTTGATTCGCGTTCGCTGTATACACTTAGGGTGGATGCATGGCTGGCCTTATTTTGAGAAACAATACATGAAAAAGTCTTAGCAACACAGAAAATAAATATTATGAAATCTTTGAATAATAGCCTATCCATTTTTTCATTATTGGGATGAATGAGAATTAATTTGTTAAAGCCAGGGAGTAAAAAATATCACCAAACAGTACCATGTAGAAACGTAAATCAATTCCGGAAGTCTGATGCGCGTAGCTTTTATGCTGAATATTAAATGAATTTCAAATTTTCTCTTTACAATAACTAATAACATGAAGGATCACTTCACGTGCTCGAAATGAACATGAAATATCATGAGATGGTTCTCAGTGATAAAGTTCAAAGATAGGGCAATTTAACCATTTCAGGCAATTAAATGAAACAAGGCTGGAGATTTGTTCACCCACTTATAAATGTTTAATTAAATGAATTAAGTTGTTATACCAGTTGGATTAGAGTTAATATTACATCTACTTACTGGTTAGTAGTTAAAACCAAACAACTAAATTCTTATCATCCAGTTAACAATAGGAAGTTCACTTTACTAAAAGGTGCACTTACCAATCACTTAATAATTTGAATGGAGTATGTGAAAACTGTACATTTACCTACATATAGAGAATAAATGCTATCTACTGATTTTCGTGCAACTAGACAAATCTATTTTATTCATGCTTAATTCAAAATGTTTATTTTCCTTTCTGTCGTTTTTTTAAGAATTGATTTACATTGTTTCTTTCACAATAAGATATTATAGAAATATGAAATATATTTCAGAGTTAACGTCTAGATCTAATGATTTTGATATGTTCTTGTCTGCAAAATAACAATATCTAAAACCAAATTCAACCGCTGGCCTAGTTGCATTTATCTTGTTAATGATGAAGGCAGGAAGTGGACAACCGCAGTCGCTTTATTATAAGTTTCCATAAAAAAATTTTGTTTATACTTTACGGAAGATGTTGAATATTCAATATTTTTTCAGCCTCATTTAGACATGAATAGCAGTGATCAATTCGAGTCTTTCCAATTTAAAAGTATCCAAGGTTAAAACTTGTGATAGAATACGTGTCCGTGAATTTGTAGTGCATCAATTTTTCAATATTCCATTTATGTGGGATATCAAGCATATTCAGGCATCTTTCCGTTCAGTTAGTAGTTGAGTGCTGCATATAACATCATAATTTTCTCAGAGGATTCTATTTTAAAGTCTAAATCCCACTTTATTTGCTTTTTAATCCAGCAAGTTGAGATATGCTACAGTGGCGTGTTCATAGAAGATATACAGATAACTTTAGATGGTTGAAATGAAATCCCCAGTGAACATCAAGCTCTTGTGTGTTTCACTCAACCACTAAATGAACGGAAAAAATGCTTGGAAATGGTAGATATTGCACACTCATTGGATGTTGAAAACAGTATGAATAATCACACACTCGAAACTTTAGCGTAACAATAGAGAACACTTAACCGAATTCAACTGTAATTAGTCTACAAGTACTGGTCCCTTAGAAACACATATTAGAAAAATCATTTTATTCAACATAATAATAATATTGCTTCATAATTTAAGAAATAATTCATTTATAATAAAAACTAGATAATACACACAAATTAAGTACCATCACAAGGGTAAACTTCTTGGAAAAATTTTTTAACGGTACAACATATAAGAGCTATAGACTATCAATCACACAACAATGATACATATTACAGTTACACACAAACACATCAAAACTAGTAGCTCATTATCATTAACGCTGAATCCCATCACACAATACTTATGGTCCGACGGGCTTATTTTCATTAAATTTTAAAATAATTCGATCAGTAAAACTCAAATATATCTATAAAACAGTGGAAAGTGTTCATAACAAAGAAAAAAACAATTAACATACAGTTTTATGAACAAAGTAACGTTAAACACGGAAACATTTCAGACATATTGCAAAATAACTAATACAAACTACTGGTGGAAATATCTACAAAAAAAAATTAGAACAAATAAAACTCTAGCAATTTGATTAGTTTTTACAATATAAAATGTGTTTATCATGTGCTCTTATAAAATTATAATTATCAATGCACAGTAATTTTCCTCAGGCATCAGGTCACGGAGCATGGCAATTAAAAATAAATTTTCCATAGAACCATGAATAATCAATTTGTACTAAGGTTTTTCTAGCATTAAATTAATGAAAAAAATATCTATGAGTGCTTTCTGCACGCTTAGTGAATATGATTAGCTATGCACCGTGGTTACGTCGAACATTAAAATAGTTTATCCAGTCTACACACAAAACTTATAAGGTCTACTTTCGAAATTCTCATAAAATTTAGTAGTGAGATCGATAGATATAGTTGATCAGTCTTAATTTTTTTGACCGTTCTCTACAGAGGTCAGTCAGAAAGAGAAAACTATAGCTGTAAGATAGTCCAGAGATGATTTATCAAGACAACCTACATATCAAATCTCGTTCCATTAAATAAAAGCTATGACTTTTCAACAAACAACAGTCATTTTTAAAGCATAACAACCGTGCAACAAACAACAAACAAGAGTCAAACAAATCTCCACTGAAAAAAATTGCAAAGACAAACTGTTTGAAAATTCACCAAAGTTAAAAGCCGTACCGAAAAAAGCACACATGAATACAACGAAAACGTATTACATCTTTAAGCGACACACTGTATACATTACAGGCGTATATATATATTCCAATTTAGTTTACACAAACCACTTGTATGACAAGGCAGACATGAAAATGGGTCATAAAATACTATTATTGTTTACATGATTTTTATCTAGCCTGATGTGAAACAGCGACCTAAAACTCTGTGCTGGATTAAGACCCTTTGCACGAGCCTTATTGGTATCGGTTTCATTTATCCTTGATAAAGGTGTAGCTTCATAATCGTACATACGAATAATATCGAATTCATTTAGAGAACTGCTTTTTCGTCGGTCTTGAACATTTAAAACTTTAACTGAGTTAAATTTTGTGGGATTTTTTATGCTATCAGGATATACCTAAAACATACAGATTAAAGAAAGTCATAAAATAAAGATTAGAATATAATCGTAACACATTGAAAATGAAAATAGATTAAAAGGCAGGAGGTTCAAGTGCATTATTTCGTGAAAAGATGAATATTATGTCTTTATAAACTTAGGCAGAGGGATAATTTCAATTTAATGGCCTGAATCCATTGAAATAAATTCACCAATTAGATAGAATTTTTAAGCATAAAAGAAGGTGAGCTAAACAAATAAAAGGTCGATAACATGCTCAAAATGATAAATCAGAAGTCATGACAACAAAACGCAAACAATCTTTGCCTTTATATGAAGTTCATCCAATTATTTATATTATTGTATCCTTTAAGAGAGTTTGGAAGCGGTTCAACTAAGATTGGATCTAGACCATGAAACCTATCTAAACTTTTTAAAAATAACCATTCTTTATTTGTTCATTTAATTTAAATTATGGGACATATATGGTAAGATTTCAAAACTACGTGTTTAGGAAAATTACTAAGTACTGACAATTACACAAACATTCGCATTTATATTAATCACTTTCCACGCTATTTATTGGTTTAAAAACTCCCAAAACTCATGTTATAAGTATAAATAATTTATCATAAAACTATTGAAGATTTCACCAAAAAATATAACTGGTGAATATTTGTTCAGCTAGATGATTTTATATGAAAACTAATTGTACTTTGTATAATTTTATTTCCAAATCATTTTAAAGATCCATCACTCAGCCATTTGATAACCGAATGTAACAGTAAAACATCCTACCAATTAGCTCAGTCGTTCTGCAATTTCGTGTTTTAAATACTGATACTGTGTTTAAATTCTTACGGCCTTAGTCTTTAACTGATATCTTTACAGAGACATTTAATAACCTGAGACCTCCTCATTGGACCATAAATTACTGAGTTTTTTGAGCTATCTAACTTTTGAGAAAAACTCTTCATCCCATCAAATCTTTCTAGTTCATTGTGATATTTCGTTTAATGAGGCTGACATAAAAAGGGTACAAATAATAAATAAAAGCAGTTAGTACTATTGTGGTGTGTGCTACTTATGTCGATATAAGTAGTATATAACGCTGATCAGGAATTGAATGTCTAGCAGCAGAAGTTTGAGAGGATCGAGGAGGAAAGGAGGGGGATAGAAGGCCTTTGGTATGGAAATGCAGGAACAATAAAATTCGAGACAATTAATTTACATTTCGCAAATGAAGTATTGGAGTATGGTTTTTCTATTTTATCAAGTAACTCTGGTAGTAACAGTATCAGCAATGGTTATTGTTGTGACAGAAAGGACTAGGGATAGAAGAAAAAAGCAAAGTAAGGTTTTGGGGTTTGGGGTCTAAGGGAGGACAAAGAATGAGTGGATCTGCGTTATTCCGGAAGATTCTTAGTCATATCACTCAACTACTGGTTACGACAATAGCACAGACCCAAACAAGAAAGTCCGTATCTACCTACGCTCCTAGTCTTACAATGAATGGTTTCATGGACAGGTGCCACATCTTGGTTAAGCTTTCTGTTGTATCCACCTAGGGTTTGACCGTCGTTAGTTCTGGCTAAGGGTCGGATAGCTATTGAGGCCAATGTTTTATACTCTATAACAGTCAATAAATTCTTCAATGGTGGTCACAGGAGAACTTTTCTCCTTTCTTATAAAGTGGGAAGATCAATGTTTAGTTTCCAGAGTTTAGCTAATATCTCGATCAATATAGCTGCTAAAACTGGACCACCATACCTAATGATCTATGGATTTGTCCGACCGACCGCAAACAGTCTTTTCAGAGTAGTTTCAAATGGTATAGCTCCGTACTTTTAAGGCCTTAGAGATGGAGATGGAAATCTATTTAGCATGGAGGAATGTGACACATTTAGATCTAACCTTTTCTTATCTCCTTATTCGGCTGTGGGATTACAGTATCCCTGCAGATGATGGCTGTTTGAAGGAGACACCTTCTTGCCATCACAATTCA